TGGACAGGACCAATGTCACCTACAAGATCCCCTGCAGAGACTGCGAGAAACACTACATCAGACAAACAGGAAGGAAACTAACAACAAGAGTACATAACACCAACTGGTTACAAAAGACACGACCAATACTCACTCATGTCAGTCCATATGGACAAGGAGAACCACAACTTCGACTGGGACAACACCAAGATCCTGGGACAGGCTAGGCAAAGACAGGCACGAGAATTCCTAGACGCACGGCACTCCACAAAGCACGCTATTAATAAACACATTGAACTCAACCCCATATACATGCCACTACGAAAGAAAACCGGAAGTGAGGTAATCCATCTCGCCAGACCTCAGAGTTTAAAAACCAGGTGGGAAGACACACCAACGCTTCATCGGAGGCTGCACTGAGGATGTTACCAAGCATGGTAATGAAACGTCTGCTAAACAAGAAACCAGCTCAGCAAGTCAACCAACCTCAACACCCACAAGCCAGCTACAAATCTACTCCAAAACACTAGGATGTCTTGCTGCAAATATACGGACAATGCTGACACCACACTTGGAATATTGAGACACGTTCGGGTCTACTTATTGCAGGAAGGGTGCTCTTGTTATGGAGGGAATGGAGCAAAGGTTTATCAAATTGATTCCTATGATGGCAACACACACATATGATAAGAGATTGAGTCAGTCTGGATTTGTTCACTGAAGTTTAGAGAATAAGGGAGGTGCTTCATCGGAATATGTTAGATGAAGGAAGGATGTTCCTAATTGCAGGGCCATAGTGTAAGAATAAGGGATAAACCATTTAGGTCTGAGGAGTTTAAAAGAGATGTGTGAGGAACATTTTTCACGCAAAGGGAGGGGAGTTCCCGGAATGTGCTGCCAGAAGTGGTGGAAGCAGACACAATAGCCACATTCAAGAAACAATTGGACGAATACATGAGTAGGAAGGGAAAAGTGGTATCTGGATCCTATAAGCGACAACAGTTTTAGTATGGAAGGGCAAAATGCATCAGCACACGCATGGAGGGCTGAAGGGCCTGTTCCTACACTGTATTGTTCTTTGTTATATCAAAAAACTTGTTGTAATCTTCAAAACAACCTCCATGACAGGTAGAGATAGCAAGAACTGCAGATGACCCAAAACATCAACCTTCCTGTTCCTTTGATGCTGCCTGGCCTGCTATGTTCGTCCAGCTCCACAATGTTTTATCTCCATGACACATGGGACATGAATCTCGATCCCCTGACTCAGAGGTTGGGACACTACCACTGCACCACAAGAGCCCATTGTGTTTATTTTGGTTTTATTTGTTCCCATACTATGATGAGAATGTTTCAACAGTTTCTGATTTTTTCCAAGGACACATTCACTCCAAGACTCAGTGTCTGAGCTCAGACTGTATTTTCTCAGCTTCCAACTTTATACTTCATGCCCCCAATTCAAAAACACAACTTTTAATCCCCCATCTTGTATGCTCACTTGTTTTTATATTTTCCAGTGGCCTAACTACACTCTAATTATAAAAGCCAAAGTCCAGTCACTCACCACCCCATGATACCAACGTTAAACTAAAAATTTTGCATTCAGGCAATATTTATAGGTAACCATGGACTTCACAGAATAACAATAAACCCCTATTTCATGTCATGAGTTTTAATGGCTTCTCTTCACTCATCCATTTTTATATCACCACCTGATCCCCTGAGTGAAACTGATCCATTACAAGACAAACTTTGAAATTTTGGGAAAACACAACGTCAGCAACACACATCTTGTCGCAGAGTTAAACGTTTAAGCTTGAAATTCCAATATTATTACAAACCTTCGCAATATCAATATTTGTTTATTGTAACACAATATTTTGGCCTCTTGGTGTGCCAATGTATCTGGCATTGATCCGTAAAAATCAAGTATGCTTCACTTGGACTTTCTGACAAAGGTGGCAACGAAAGGACTATTTTGCCATTTCTCCTTATTCAGAGACAGGTTTTAGAAGTGAACTCTCTGCTTCATTGTAATACTGCTGGTTACCCAGGTCAGTGGGATCAAAACAAAACAAGGAACACTGCCCCAAGTATTGACATGGCCAATAATTATGAAGTGACAGGGTGCGGGTGCGGGGCCGGGGCCGGGGCCGGGGCCAGGGCCTGGGGAGAATCTTTCAGAAAAACTAACAGCAACCGACTCTTACCACAACACAGCAGCCATCCTTCCTATCACGTGCTCCTGGTCACACGCTCTGACCTTTGGCACCAGAAGGGATGGCAGGCGCGCCATTTTGTAAGGCAGTGAAGCCCCGCCCTCTGAGACGTCATCGCGTGTGCGTGCGCCTGGGGCGGAGACCCGCACTGAGCAAGCGCAGCCTGAGGGCGGGGCTCACTGTGATTCCAAATCACTGAGTGGAATGTGCTTCAGACGTGGAAGTGGAGGGGGTCTGTGTTTCTGCCCCCCTGGGAAAAGAACTTACCCAAAAATCTACAGTGTGTATCCCACACATGTCCTGGGGACTACCTCACAGTCTCCAATAAACCCAGCGCCTCACCACCTCGAATAAAGTGACTGCACAGCACTTTCAGACAACATGTGAAAGATGTTATATAGAGTCATAGCAGGGAAACAGACCCTTTCGATTGATGTTCGTGCTGACCAGAATTTCTAAATTAATCTCATCCCATTGGCTAACATTCAGCCCATATCCCTCTAAACCCTTCCCTCCGTGACTCCCTTGTCTGCTCCACTCTCCCCTCCAGCCCCACCACACCCGGCACTTTTCCCTGCAACCGCAGGAAGTGCTACACCTGCCCCCATACCTCCTCCCTCACCCCCATCCCAGACCCCAAGAAGACTTTCCACATCAAGCAGATGTTCACCTGCACATCTGCTAATGTGGTATACTGCATCCGCTGTACCCAGTGTGGCCTCCTCTACATCGGGGAAACCAAGCGGAGGCTCGGGGACCGCTTTGCAGAACACCTACGCTTGGTTCGCAACAAACAACTCCCCCTCCCATTCCTCAGACGACATGTCCATCCTGGGTCTCCTGCAGTGCCGCAACGATGCTACCGGAAGGTTGCAGGAACAGCAACTCATATTCCGCTTGGGAACCCTGCAGCCCAATGGTATCAATGTGGACTTCACAAGCTTCAAAATCTCCCCTCCCCCTACCGCATCCCAAACCCAGCCCAGCTCTTCCCCGCCTCCCTAACCTGTCCTTCCTCCCACCTATCCCCTCCTCCCACCTCAAGCCCCACCCCCATCTCCTACCTACTCACCTCATCCCACCCCCATCTCCTACCTACTCACCTCATCCCACCCCCTTGACCCTGGACTGACCTTCCTCCTCCCTACCTCCCCACCTACACTCACCTTTACCGGCTCCATCCCCACCTCTTTTCTCCTCTGTCCATCTTCTTTCCGCCTCCCCCCCTCCCTATTTATTTCAGATCCCCCTTCCCCTCCCCCATTTCTGAAGAAGGGTCTAGGCCCGAAACATCAGTCTTCCTGCTCCTCTGATGCTGCTTGGCCTGCTGTGTTCATCCAGCTCTATACCTTGTTATCTCAGATTCTCCAACATTTGCAGTTCCTACTATCTCTATCCATACACCCATCTGGATGCCTTTCAAATGTTATAATTGTACCATCCTCCACCATTTCCTCTGGCAGCTCATTCCATACACACACCACCCTCTGGGTGAAAAAGTTGCCCTTTAGGTCGCTTTTAAATCTTTAAGATTTCACCTTTAACCTATGCCCCTCAACTTTTGGACAACCCCAGCCCAGGGAAAAGACTTCATCTATTTACCCTATCCATGCCCCTCATGATTTTATAAAACACTGTAAGGTCACCCCTCAGCCTCCGACACTCCTGGGAAAATAGCCCCAGTCTATCAACCTCTCCATATTGCTCAAACCCTCCAACCCTGGCAACATCCTTGTAAATCCTTTCTGAGCCATTTCAAGTTTAACAACATCCTATTGCAGGGAGACCAGAACTGCACACAGTAAAAAGCCACTTAGTTGTTACCCTTCTGTGAGCTCCCCCACACAGCTTTCTTCAAGGTCAGCTGTGAATTTCACTGTTTATTTTTCTTAGAAGGAACTCCAATGTCCAGGGATACTTGAAACCAAACAGCTAAGGCAGTAACCTTGCAGGTTACTGCTGGGTTAGACAGCACTGTAGGTTTCCTTCTCCGTTTGAATCACAGCCCACGTGGTCACTGTCCTTTGTCTTCCTCCTTTTCAAAATGCCATGGTTTTGTTTTTTTTTCTTCCAAAGTTCCAAAACAATGCAACAGGTTATAAAACAGTAATTAGTGTTCTTAGAATTTGAGAAACATCAGTTCCAACATTGAAAATACCTCCAAAATAAAAAGGAACAGTTGTTATAGCCACAAATTTTTTTCATCCTCCATCTTGATTTATCCAGAATCCCTCTCATAATTGCAACTGTCTCTTGGCTCTTAATTTCCCATACAATACTTCATTTTTTGTTTAAATCTGAATGGGGCAGTGACTGTGTTTTCACATGCAAAAGTATCAAGTTTTCAGTCAAATATCATGAAAGCTTTGAGAAAAAGATCATTGAGAAACACTATAATGTTTTAGCAATCACTTAATGAGTGCTTGGCTCTTAGTTCTGTCTCTCACATATGGTTTTATTAATCCTTCACAGAGAATTGCCCCATTTCAGACTGCTCAGCTTGTTGAATTTTAGGGATTTGCTGTGCTTTTTTTGACATCTTCTCACTTCCTTTATTTTTGAGGATTTATTTCAAAATGATTTGCCAAGTTGAATAAGAGCTTTTTCATAACAACCACCACACTGGTTCATCCAACCGATCATGTTAGTTGTGACAAAACATGCATCATGATCCCTTATTATTCACTCAGTGCTACAAGACAAAATAAACTTAGATTAAAAGCATAGGCCAATTTGTATTAGTATCAATTTTGTCCAAACAATTGTGGTGGATTTAAATTGGTCAGTGGATGTACATTAACCCTAATGTAGTGTCACGGGCTTGATTTGCGTGTTTTATTTTTGAGGTCAACATGCCTTCAATGTGTGAGGTGTGTGCATTATCTTATTCAAGGTGATGTGTTCCAATTTAAATAATTACAACAGCAAATGTCTGTGAATTTGGGAAGTAACATTGTTTATGATGACACATTTGCTCAAGGTTTCAATACAATATCTAACACAAGGCAATGGGAATGTGAAATTTGGAACACAAACACATCAGCATGATCTTATTAAATGGCAGAGCAGGTTTGAGGTACACATACTTTTGTATGTGCCAATGACATGAGAATAAATCCTGACATTTGTTACTGGGAACAGCTGATATCAGATTTCAACTACTAAATCAATACCCAAACAGAATTGGATCAACTCAGTTTGGAGAGACATTTTTGAACGTGTGTCAAAAACATTTATAGCTAACATTTGAATACAAAAGATCAGACCTTTTCAATAATACAAAGTGTTTGAATGATTTATTTCACAAGATGCACAACATATATACATAATTGGAACATTATAAAAATAAATATTGGCACAAAAAGTAACTTAAATGTAATAGGATTTAAATAACCAAGAAGTTAGCATTTACACTGTAAAAAGGAACCTGTTGAACTGAAGGCCTTTTAATGGTCAAGGCAGAAAAGTATATGTTTAAGAAACTATAAAAAAAAACAGTAACTGAGAAGACACAGCGTACTTTGACAATTTAAGTTGTAATTAGTACAAGCATTTTATTTGCACATATTACTGGTAACGTTTAAACATACTAATACATTCCAAGAGGGGAAAAAAAACAGTCCCACTGTAAAAGCGGAGTTTTTTTTATACACTGAGGCAAGAATTGAGAATCATTCTGCGTCACAGCCAACAGTACAGAACACTAAATATATTTAGGATACGCACTGGTAGTGTTTTTTAAAAATAACAGTGCCTTATCAGATACACAAAGACTTTATAAATCAGTGCAGGAAGAAAGTAAAACTAGACTACTCAGCTGTTAGCAATCCCACTGAGTTTCTCAATGTATTTTTCCACTTTGTAAGGTATAAAGTTGTTAATCATATTTGAACAAGACATCAGCATTTTTTGACTCTTAAAAATTCTTCCATTAAATAGCCAATAACAATTTTAGTGATTTTAACTGAAG